ATTACAATTACTTTTCTTTCCTATAGGTGGCACACAGTATGTTTAAAACGGGTCTGGACAAGTTCCCCCCTATGGAGAATCTGCAATCATATACCGCTAACCTCCACATTCTGTGTCTGAGTTTATATGAAGGTAGATTATAACTTTGTTCTTATATGTTATTGGATTACATAAGTGTCACAGAACTTACCTGGGCCTGCCTAACTACACTGATGACATCAAAGAGACGTATCCATTGCTTAAGGCCTCTTTGGCATTGTTAGACCTAAACTGACAGCCGCTGGTCCCTGCCTCTCCCAGTGAAAGGCAATTAAAGCCCCTTTGAAGAATATTCATTATCAGCAGCCCACATAAAGGTGCTGAAAGGCTAAAAAGGCACAAAATCTCAATTCTACAAACGACTGGGACGTTTTCAATCTTAACATTTACCAGACGACAAAAATGTTAGCCTTCATTCACAGAGTAAAAAATTCAGCACAAAGAGATTGAATCAGTCATCATCGTCAGGGAGGCATGAATACATGTCACGGTAAAAATATACTGTATTCCCTAAATGCAATGATGGAATTAATACACGTCGTCATGTCGCAAGGGCCAGTGCTAGATTCCCCTTCACAGATTCCAAGCTGTCTGCTCCCAGCATGCCAATCTGTCATGTCCTTGTTCACATCCTGCCCCTCATAGGAAGCCCTGTTCCCAAGCTTAAAATGTTTCCCGATTTAGCCCAACCTGGGCTTGTCGTAAGCAATTATACACAGAGTGTGATCAATGCCAACAATGACAACATAACCTCAGCAGGAGATCCATAATCTGTGTGGCACTGTTTTCATGTTCAGCTCAACTTAAGCAGTGTTCAATTCCTTGGAAGGTGAGAGAAAAGTTACAAATGTACAGGGTTTAGCAAAGTATGCCAGCTCTTTGCTTGTGTGTGTAGGTGAAGGTCAGTGCAGGTGGAGTTAGTCATGCACGGGTCGTCCTTCGTGGGGCAGTGAGCAGGTCTCAGTAAATGAGTGTAGCAGAGGTGCTGAGGGTATATCAAATTGCACTCTGTGAGAAAGAATGCTCCCTAAGGTCATAAATCAGAGATGGGGCAGAATTTCGCGCCTCTCTGCAGCTCAGCAGGCCTGTTTACACTGACGTAAGTGGCACTCAATAGACTGCCACTAATGCCCAGCCTGTCATTCACACAAACACACACAGAAACACACACTCTGCTCATTTACCCTCAAATAAGTACAAATGTACACCTAAAAACATACTCACAAAACAAACGATATTATGCACTAAATCCTGTTTAATGGCAACCAATTGAACAGCACCAAATAGAAAAATCCAATGTAAACATCAAGGCTCATTTAATCTCAATCCAAACACTGAACACTTGCACTCATAATCTCATGTCCTGCCTACACCAGTCTCTTTTTATTCATTAGAGTTTTTACTTTATAATTGGGTTTAGTGTCAACACACTTCAGCGTTATGTCCAGTCAAAAGTGTAACCCCTTTGAAAGCAGAGAGCTCTTGGACTTAATAGTTTTATTGTCCTTCACTAAAGTAATAAATTATTCCTGAACAAATTCCTGCAGGTAAAATAAATATCATAAACTGGGAAAAAGTATCAACAGAAGGGTTCTGTTTTGGATCAATATGAAAGGACAACTAACCCAGGAAAACAAGCTGTAGACCATAAATTTGAACACAATTTCCTTGGAAGACCCACCAAAATGAGGAACCTCAGAAAAAACACAAGCAAGGTGTCCAGCAAATAATTCATGACGGCCTGTGCAAGCATTTGTCAATTGCATTGAGACAGACACCAATAACTTTTTTTGCCCCGTTAACTGCCCTCATGTTGTCAGGTCATGCAAAAATAAACACAAGGAGACACAGCAATGGCTGGTTTTAAACTTAATGTTCACACTAAATTAGAGGTGTATCATGAAGAAACACTTGCTCTGTTGTTTTATTTTAATCAGTGCAAATCATGACAGAAATTAAAACACCAAGTGAACCTCGGTAGGAAAATATCCTTAGTAAAGACAAAGCAAACAAATAAATGTGAAAAGAAGCTGCTTGGAGTCTGTTTATGTGTCTTACTATGTGTGTGCACGTGCTTATGGGAGTTCCTGTGTGTAAGAAGCTTAAGTGTGTTTATGTAAACAACAAACGTGCAAGAGAACCTGTGTGGCCAACTTGCTCAGAGCCTGCAAGGATCATGCTCTAATTTGTACAGTAACAGGAAACAACATCTTTGCAGACTAAGAACTGAGCAACCGCTGAACAACATCCTCCACTTTACAAACAACACAATCCAACCCAAAAGTGTTTCCCTTCTCCCCTGAAGATACCGGCTGTGCACTTGTGAATATATGTTCAAAGCTTAAGGTAGAAAAGTTGAATTGGCCACAGTTTCTTATAAAAAAAAAAAAATTACCCTGAACCTTTTAAACAGGATGTTGGAGATATTGTGTGGTGTTTGATTTCTTCCTCTACTCAGCCAGCACTCTCCATCATTCCAGTGGCCCCAGTGACACTCCCATTCCAGCCCAAGCCCTATCTGCTCACAACAGGAAATCATGACTCCTTAAAACCCATCCTGGACTAATCCTGGTGAGAAACAAAACAGTGCAGAACAATCCCAAAAACTAAGCATCTTCTAAAGCCCTTCATCTTCTATTATTTTCTTCTTCCTTAGTAGCGTATCAATAACTGACTTTACTGACTTTTGACTGCTACTGCAAGCTACAGATTTTATTTATTGATTTGAACTATAATAACTAATTTGAATAAGAAATCTGCTGGAGTGTAGTGAGAATAACAAGTTAATGTTTATGAACTCCAAGTTTGCAGTTAAGGATATCCCTGAATAAATGTTAATTTAATTATTCATAACGACTCTAATGCTGCTGCTGCTGCATAAATGGATGAATCAAGATACACACAAGATAGACACTTGTGTATTAGAGTGTGTTACTCCCCATGACGTGGTGGCCACTGGAGCAGTAGAAAACGAATCCAACAGCAGCCAGAGGACTTTAGGACTTGAGGGCCCGTAGACGTAGTGGGGCTGAGAGGACTCTTATCCACAGCCTCCCGATCCCCACTATCAGGTTATCCCAGTGGGGTTTTCCTGATAACACAGCCTTGCTGATAACAATAGCCCAGGTCCCAGGCCACTCTGTACCATGCTAACGGTGTTAGCTACCTCATTACTCCACTGGCTACTGGCCTATCACAAGTTCATCACCAGCCCAGTGGCAACTTACCAGCTACAAACCACCAGCAATCACTACTGTCTTACGGCCAACAAGGGAATCATTACCGACTGCAGTTTACAGGAGCCAGACCCTCCATTTGGCATATTGAAAAGAGAGGAGAGTTTTTCTCAAACGAACTGTGCAAAAACACAGAATGCTGTTTGTCTTGAGAGCATGTGCTTCATAAAGATTGTGACATCAAACAATGGAAAGAGTTGAGAGTATAAGCTTTCAAGTGTTAGTAAAGAAAGGAGTTCCTATCTCTAGCCATGCAGGTTTTCTTTCTTTATTGCAAACCAATATTTCATCCAAAAGTTTTCATGCCTGGACACATGTAACATTTAAGTACTTATCTTTAATGATAATGTTAATTCAACAATTCAATATTTATTATATTATTTATATATATTATTTAATTATTTTCGTTAATTTGATTGTGTAAATGATGATTTAAATAAGGAGCCACATTATCAACCGAATGTGTAACTCCTTTAACAAAAACAAGGCAATAAAAACATTGACACTATCCTTATTCTTCTACTAGATGAACAGCAGAATTATGTATTAAACACTTTTGTAAACAAAAGCGACTAATTATAACAATATATTATATATTATACTGAACACTGAAGAAATAGTTTTCACTAAATGTTATTGTATAGTAAAGACAACCACAGTAAAGAAAATAATAGCGGTCGTAGCAGTGAAAACATCAACAGCATCAATGTTTGCAGAGGATGGAGTATGTTGGTTAGAGTACTTAGAAGAGGGTGACCGAGTATATGTTAGTGGATTTTAGACATTCCACTTGCAAAGCGGTAATATGGGGGCTGAACTGCAGTTTATCCAGCTCAATTCAAGTTCTGCATGGCCCATTCTTTTGAAATGTGTGCAATGGTACGGCTTTATTGCGCAGTTCCTTTATCTTTGAGATAGCTTATTTTAACAGTTACCACTTCACCTTATTTTAATATCTTTGGAAATTGTTTTTTTACCTGAAAAACTAATAGCTATACTTGCTCCAGTGTATATCTTTACTCAGAATCAGGGATTTTCTTCTGAGCAGCAAATGTGTGTGTGACTCATTACAAATACCTCTTGCAAAAGATTTTGTCATGGCCAGAGGAGTTGTTGTTAGCAGGTGTTACACTAGAAGGGTTAGTGGAAGTAAATAAACGCGAAGATAGAGATAAATCTAATCTAATTGTAAACTTGTATGTACAGTATATTTTCTTAAAGCATACAATAGGTTTTAATAATGCCAATTTAATAATGATAAATGTCTTCCTACCAGCACCTGGACACATCAACAAACCAAAATGTTTTCAATACTATACAATTCAGCAACAATGACTTTGACAAAACTAAATTTGACATGCTACGGATTATGATAGATTGCTGACATAAACAAGTTTCACATATTTCTCATACCCTATTAAAATGAATGGGAACCAATTGTGTATGAGAAACACCTGTTCACAGTATGTTTTACATAATAAACCCCATGAGTCATCTTTCAGTCAAAGTCAATCCAAACTTTTGACTTACCTAAGAAGACCTAATCAGACAACACATAATGAGTGGTAGCAGCCACATTCGTCATTTAGTTGTGTGGCCCCGCCCTCTTTATAATAATACAATGGCTCAGCTGGCACACAGTGGTTTCATGATCGAGTGTTCTCAGCTTAAACTTTTATCATGTTAATATTCTATAGATGGAAGTAGTAATATTTTGTGCCTCACCTGGTTCCTCCAAAGAGGATGATTCGATCTCCAACCATACAACAGCACTGCCGTCTCCGTGGACATGGGCCTTTCCCCTTCGGTTCTACCTTCTCCCAGGAAAAGGCTTCTGTAATGTGTACACACAAGACAAAAATAAAATTGAGACAACAATATCTAGACATAATAATGGAAAAAGAAAAAAACAGACATGCATATACCCTGACTTCTTTTGAGATGGAAGACTCTCAAAAAAAATGTGGGATTACATTCTTGCTTTAAATAGCTCAACAGAGGGATCTTTAGCACAACACATTTTGATCTGTGTGGACTACATCACAGCAGCTATACAAACTCTAAGCCACTTAAAAGTTACATAAACGTCCTGGTGCTTTCCATTGTGCCTGCAGTTCATTCAGCTTTCTGCTATATTTAACCACAAACATAAGGCCCAGGGATAACGGAATGAAAAGGAGCGATGAGAGCAAAAAGACAAAATTGAACCTTCATTTGAACACAAAACTTCACATTTCAGAAATAGACACAAATCCTCTCTTCTGCTCTGCTGAAGTGCAATATGAGTGACGACGCCGAGGCTCTCTCAGTTGTTCCATATAAGGATGAACTGTGTAGCCTCACACTCTCAGAGCCAACAGCATCATTGCATCTCTATAGCAACAGGCCATTCAGACTTTGTTAGATAATAAGGACTATAATTGAGGTGCTGCCATCTACTGGACTGCAGTAGACCATTAGATCTCATGTTTACGCAGTACAAGGCTCTCCAGCTGGATCAAACCGAGTGCTTTATCCATAAATACCCTGTGATGTGCTATAAAGGTTAAGAGCTAGGCTAACTGTTATGAGGCACATTCTGCATATGCCCACTCTTGTTTACGATTAATGCTATTCTGTTAGTATTTCAATACCATATAGGACACTATATTAACAGTGATTATATCCCTGGTGTGCTACTTCAGCTATGACAACAATGTTTTGTTTGGAACAAGAGCGCAAACGTTTCCTCTGGAAAACATTTCAACTGACTTGAGAATCAATCTGGCACCATTTGTAAGAGCAGACAAAGACTCCAGAGGCTGAATTATTGTCAGTTTTTCATCCGTGTGTTTCTGGCAAAAAGACAGGGCATCTGTGTTTCACACTCAGCAAAGTGAACAGGGAGCAGCCAGCCACTACCACGAGACTGGCAATGATGCAATGAGGGGGGAGAATATTGTCTACAAGACTCCCTGCAGAAGAATGAGGAGGAAAGTGGGTCGACATGAGCTGGCATTGCCACTGCTGCATTTCCTCTATAGAGTAAACAATCAATGCAGGCACATCAAAAACAAAATTACTATGCACTAAGCAAATAAACACCATCAAGAATGACACAATTAGCAGCAGTATTTTAAAGCAAAATAAAACGTTTTCCCCAATCGGACATAAATAAATGGTGAATCACCTGGATTGAATTTCCAGAGGTCGTTGAAGTGCCGGTCCAGGCGGGCATTGTATCCCCCAAATATATACAACTCCCCATTGTAGGAAACTAAACACAGAAACAAAAAGGGAATGAAAACTGAACCATTTTTATGTCGTATCATGCAGATCAATGACATTTGCAGCACAGTAAATGGAAACCATGTGAACCAGTTAAATTAGCTGGGTTTTTTTTAATCACACAATGTGGAGAGAAAATTCAATCTTTAGTACAGGATGAAAAACACTGTTTATACTCCAAATATGCAAACAATAAAAAAACAAACCATGCTTGAAACGGAGACAGGTCACACTATAAAATAAGTTTACATTTTTCCTCTTAAAAATATATTTTTTAAAGATTATTCAATGTAAGAGAACCATGCTGCTCCCCACAATGTAAGCATTTCAAAGTGATCATTACAAATTTGTTCATCGTGTGTGTGTGTTTGTCTTACAGGCTGAATGACTCCTGCGTCCCTCTGGCAATGGTTGTGTTGAAGGGGTGTTCAGCCAGCAGTTGGTCTCTGTGTCGAACACTTTGATCTTGTTGCAGTAGATCTCATTGTTGGAGTGGAAGGGACCAAAGCGGTCCGCTCGCCCTCCAAACACAAACATCTTTGTCCCGATGATGGTGGCTGAGTGGAAGTCTCTCCAGCGTGCCGGAGTGCCCTGTGAACAGAGGACCAGCAGATAATTCATTTACACTCCATAAAGTTTGAGAGGAGAGCCAAACAACATAAAGCAGTCTACTCAGAACAGAAAGCAAGGACATACATTCTGCATAACCTGAACCACACCTCATAAACAAGTTTTAGTCCAAAACTCTCCTACATCCCTAAACTTTCTGTTCTCATCATAACCTTGGGTATAAAGCATCATCTTTACACTGGCAAAGCTGAGGCTTCCAGACCAGCAACTTCAGGTAAACAGTGCCATCTAGTGCACCATGTTACCAACTACAAGGGCACACTAAATCCAAACCACTTTAAAGCACCACCTTTCAGAAATAATGTACAGTAACAGGGACATCGTTTAAAATTAAGCGGGAACCAATCTCAGAAGAATAATGCCGCTGATACCCGAGAATCATGAATAATGACAAATATACAATAGCGAAATGTGATCCACTGAATGAAATTGTGCCAGACAAAGGCAGGCCTGTATCCCCTTTGCATTTAGCTGGCCTTAAGCCATGGTAAAGCCTTTCACATGGCCTGCTTTCCAGAATGTGGTGCCATTGTTTTCCACAAATCTAGCAGGCTTTTTCACTTGAAGTATAAATAGAGCAGTGGGAGTAACAGAAAATATTGTAAAAATTATACAAAATATTAAATTATACAAGTAATGTAAAAAATAACCAGCTTAATGAAAATATTTAAAATAATCTAGTGCTCAATCTTGGAAAAACAAGACTTAAGACAATACCAGACATAGTGAAAATTGAAATAGGTGCAATAACAAACTAAATGTATTTAAAACAAGTTCAACTTTAGAGAAAACAGGCTGAGTAACAGGTAGTTTTGTTTTCAAAAAGAATGCAAGCCAGAGAACATTCAGTCACATGCACAACTAAACCTGTAAGCACTACAGTGTAATCTCCTTGATGACAAAATGTTATCAGTTAGGAACTAAAACTAGGGACTGGTGGAAGAGGGACTGGATATGTCTAAAATATACTTTACAAGAGTTTATCACATGAGCTGTTGACAGCATACAAACACAAATGGCATTTCCCAAAAGGGGAGTGTATATAATCCTCTGTGAGGCTTTTTGTACTTGGCCATGTACCAGGGAGCTGCATTACATTGCAGTGCCTTTGTATCCAGCCAATCTGACCACTGAGTGCTTGTGTAGCAGTACTGCCAACCCCAGTAATGACCAATGGTTTGTGGATTTCCAACAGTGCATTGAATGTAACTGAGCATGTTGCCAGTCCATTCTATCTTTGTGCTGCGTTGAGTGAGTGCTTTGTGTCCACTTTTATGTGGACTTGAAGATTAAGTGCAAAGATTCTTTGTAACAAAAAAACAACTTTTGAAGAATTAACAACTCGTGGTTTTTACTCACTCTGGCATTAATTAATGACCAAACCATGGTGGTGGTGTCCAGCTTGTGGATATCATTTGAAAAGCAGTCCGCCTAAAAAAACCAGCAGAGGAGACAAATTAAATCATGTTTTAATGTTCAGAGAGCAAGCCCCACAGTGAAGAGAAATGAAGACTTACCAGCTGCTCATATCCTCCAAATATATACATCGACTTCCACAGGACGCAGGACGAGTGGCCATCCCTTGCCCCTGGAACAGTCCCCGAAATCTTGGGTGTGAACCATCTGTGGGAGTCTGTGAAGCAGGAACAGTTTATATTAACTCTAAGCACTCTTGCGAGGGTGCAAACCTCGGGTTTTACAACCCTTTAACACTTGAGTCATGTGCAATGGAAAAGCATCACACATATAAGCAGGTGTTACGGCTCCCTAACGTACAGTTTTCTCTTCCTTTTGCTACCATGACCTCAACATCAAACAGGTGCATGTCAAAGGAAATACAGCCTGAAACTATCACTTAACAGCGTGAGTTAGATGCAGGTCTACTTACTGATATCAAAGGCATAAAGCACATTGCAGGCCCCCTCTGTGTCGTTACGCCCACCCCAGAGGTAGATAATATCATCCAGCAGCACAGCTGTGTGGCCATAACGCATATATGGCACTTCACGGACACGTTCATGTCCTCCCGTCCTCACTGGAGGCAACTTCATCCAGCGCAAAGACACTGAAGTATAAAACAGTCGAGAAGGGTACACTCATTCAGTACATGGTTGAAAAGTAGCTATTCATTACCTCTTGTTGTATGTTTTTTAAATGACAACCTTATCAAAGCAGGAACAAGAAATTTAAAAAATATATAGTGACAATATATACTAAAGACAAGCCTCAATGCCAAAGTAAATGCATAACTACAATAACATACTGCAGAGAGATATTTGAGTTCAAGATACGTTTTTAAAAAAAAATAAGAGCAGTAATACCAATTAGAGAAACAACTGGGAGATACACATGCAAGAGATTTAAATTTGAAACTCAAAATAAAGGTCAGCAGGGATATTTCAACAAGCTCTTACAGCTGTCTGATATACCTGCATTTATTTGAATCTACTGTATAAAATGACAAGATGTGAAAAATCTTGATGAAATGCAAACTGTTTCTTTGCAAGTTCACCTTTTACTTATTTTGAGAGGTTGAAAACAGAAGGTGAAGAGTAAAGTCTCTGAAAAGACAGACAAGTGAAGAAAAAGAAAAAATCAAAAGGACTTTAAAAAGACAGAAGGCTCTGCTGTAAAACAGACATCAAAGAGAAGGAGCACAAAACAAGTGACAAGCTAAAATGCTGAAACAATAGCTAAGGTGGTCCCGTTTCCATTTCAATCAACCAAAGGCGTCTTTATCAAGGTTTGGTTCCACAGATCTTTTCATGGTACAGCAATAGCAGGTAGGCTCCAACTACTTTAAGAAGTTGTAAAACCCTAAAGCAGGTGGCTGACCACACAAAGGGAAAATATATATATGAAATGGGTTACGAGAAAAAAAGGGGAGCCGTTTTGTAAAAGTTAGAGCAGCACATTTTAAGAAAACACCTGTGAAAATTTCCCAAACCGCAGCGGAAATCTTGGGTTTTTAATTGCCAGCTGTAGAGAGTTACCGTTATAATGACGGTTCAACAAACTCTGAGAGACTCTTTTTAAAAGGAGAACACCTTCTCACCTACACAAATAATTTGAGAACAAACAGAAACCTACAGTAGATATGTATGAATTTAAACCATTTTACATAAACATTTACTGGGGTTTCAGTATGGTCCTGATGTAAAAATACAACGCTTTTCACTGACAAGTCATACTGCTCTTGGCACCTGAAAATTTTGTTTTGTTTTCAGGTCATAAACAACAGTTGCATTCACTGTCAAGATAAACAGCTGAAAAGAAGAAGCTATTTTAAGAATTCGTATGCTTAAATTCTAACACCTTCCACAAAATGCACAACCAGAGGGATCCCTCAATACACATTCACCACCTACCTGTGTTGAAGACATGCACGTCAATCTGACGGAGTGTCTCGTAGTCCTCCCCGGAGCAGTAGCCTCCAAAGGAGTACACCTTGTGCCCCACCGCCACAGCAGCATGGTTGACTCTCCGCGGCCCTCCTTCTAGGTGCACAGACCAGCGCAACATTCCACGCGCGAGCACCTCTGTGACTTGGAGTCCTTAGACCATCACTTTGTTGCCCGCTTGGATCCCATCAAGCCAACACCATTGAAACCTGTGATGGAAAAACAACGAGAGGAGCAGCACTCTGCTTAGGAGAGAAATGGGGCAAACAAGGAGTGGCAATTGAGGAGAACACAAAGGGGAACTGTTTGTCCTCTTGGCCTGAGAGTTGCTCTCTCTCTCTGTTGCTGACAGGCTCACAAGCCCCTGTATTATCTAAGCTGGGAGAGTATTTTAAGAAGTGATTAGACCTACACCTACCACTCCTCTTTCTTTCTGTTCACTCTCATCCCCTGTGCCCTCCCACTGCACTATGACAGTACAGGAAATGTAGAATCACATAAATACATGTGCACTTCTTTTAGGCATTAAAAAAAAGTCAATATCATTACACACAAACTCCTTCAGTAATCTTTTAACTATAGGGAGCTCCTATTAGATTACCAGGGTGGTATGAAGTGCTGTGTGTCTAATCTACAGAAAAGAGAGCAACATTGAAACAGGTCATTTGGCTATCTTGACTAGTTGGGTTTTGCATGACTGGACAGTCGTGCAAATCAAACATGTCTGATGGAAATAAAGCACGCTTAAGGAAAACATCTAAAAATGTCTGCAGCTATTAGTTTATTGGCAGTTTCTAATTCAGTAATGCTTCCAGGAACAGCTTCCAACTCGAAGTAACAACACTCATTAACAGCAAAAAAGAAAAAAGTCCAAATCACCATGTTAACATTTAGTCACTACATGTATGTCTTGCAGGAAAAAAAAAAGCCCTCAGCTTCTGGAAAACAAGTGAACCTGCTTCTTGCAAAACCATAAGTGCCCCTGCTTTTTCTGTCTCAATGACTCACTTACTCACTGACCTCCAACCTTTGTTTGCTCTTATAAATAAACCCCCCAGAAGACCATTTCACATGGGCCTTTCTATTTCAAGACCACACATCTCCGAGGAGCAACAACAACAACAACAAAAAAAAAACCCAGATCTAGGAAACAGGCAACTGAGAGGCTTCACTTTATTATCATCACTGTTTTTAGAGATTTCGATTAAAGCCATGCAAATACCAAGACCCAACCTGGGATATTGTGACTCCTCCTCATACTTTGCTGCAGCAAACCGGTTCCCAGGCTTTTACAGGGAACAGAATTCCTTCGCATTTCATCCCATCCTGAAGTCTTTCCTCACGTACATGAGCCCGAACAGGATATTGTTGTGTTGATATTAGGATGACTTATCCACTTAAAAACAACCCACAGACCACAGTGGCTTTGTGCACAATGATAGACAGATCGTTGATTGATAAAAGCTAATCTAGACCCGGTGACATTGAGCTGTAACACCGTTACTACAGTCCTACAGCCTCACACACTAGCTAGCCGCGGTTAGCTACCTATCAAACAGGAATAACAACACTCACTGTTTTTTTTTTTTTTTGGGGGGGGCACATAGCATCAACTTTAACAACCACCATGCAATAGCGACAATAGCGTCCCCGTATCCAGCTGTTTGGTGGCCAAACTGTCCGGGGAGGAGACACCGTGGCTGGCTAGGCTAAAGCTAATCTGTAGGTGCTACCTTGTGTAGCTGTTAGCTCGCTGACGTGAAACTGAATTAGAAATCGATTTATTAAGATTAAGATTAAGATTTCCAACCCTGGTTAAAAAAAAAAAAAAAAAAAGAAGAAGTTACGAGCTGGTCAGCTGAGAGGAATATTAATAGAGGGATAAAAACGTAGCTACCTTCAGTCGAGTCGGTTGTGGTTAACTGGTGTTTAGACAGGCAGACAGTGAGAGCGCCTACCGACTCCCTCGTGACGTTTCGGGTGGAGAAGCGTCCGTCAGCGCCCCCTGTCGGTTGTTCCCATCCTGGAGGGGGAAAGAAAAAAACACTTATTCATTTTCACACTGACAGAAAGTATGGAGGCCAATGTGACTGGGGGGAAAAAAAAAAGATTCTGGAAGTTATTGTAATGAGAAACTTTCTTGAAATGTTGATTTAGTGTCTCAAAATAATGAGAGATTGTCTCCAGATTTTGACATAGCATCTTAAAGTATTGACTTGTTATCACAAAGTAATGAGAACGTCTTCACTATTTTGACTTATTACTTATACTTATTATTATTATATCAAAATAATGACTTGTAAACTTAGTAGACAGTTTCTCATTATTTTGAGATACTGAGTTTTAATTTTGAGATACTAGGTAATTATTTTTTAGACATTAACTCAAAATATTGGGACAGGTTGTAATTATTTTTAGATACAAGACTTTATCTTAAGATATTAATTCAAAATGTTGGGACAGGTTCTCATTATTTTAAGATACTAAGACTTTATCTTAAGATATTAATTCAAAATGTTGAGACAGGTTCTCATTATTTTGAGATATTGAGTCAATATTTTGAGAAAGTTTCTCATTATATTAACTTAAAGAATATTTTTTTCCCCAGCACGCTAGCAGAAATGGGCTTCCATACTGAAGCCTGTGTGTGTGGTTTTTTTGTTGTTTTTTTTAACCAAAACTACCTTTTACTCTAGTAATGGGAATTCCAGCTCATTTGAGTGAGCCAGATCATTCCACTCAGCTGAGTAATAAGAGCTGGCTCTTTTGGCCCCCAGCGGCTCTTCATTTAATACTTCTGGCTTTTATAATGCACCCTATGACTGGTAGACTATGTGCGCTCATATATCACTTAAGTTCTTCAATGTAATCACATTAATCCTTATTAAATCATATTAATTTCCGGAGTTCCATAATTTTACATTATGCTTGCTATAATTACCTTAAATAATGTAAAAATATCCACTATTATATGCGTATTGACCGTTTTATTGGTATTTAACTGTTGTTGTATGTTGGCAACCGGTGCACCAGTGCAAGTCTCACCATGCTTAAGCCTTAATGTTATTTTATTAGCCTAATTCATAAAACAAAAAAAGGAAAATAAATAAGCTCTTAGACGGCAACCAGTTCCCATCGCTCATTTAAAAGAGCTGGCTCATAGAGCTGATTAATCATTAGTTTAGTGCAGCAGTGTGAAATACAGGTTAGTATTCATGTTTTCACACATTTTGTTTAACACAGCATTCTTTACATTTCCCAATGGGACGTTTACCTAAGTGTTTTCTAGGTGCATAACCGGATTAACCTGTTAGGGGGAAAACGTTTTTGTTGTTTGCTGTTAGTGTCCATCTCCCACTCCCACTGTGTGTATTGTAGATATACCTGTTGTCTCCAAGTTTTCAGTAAGTACAGCACAAACAGCAGCTTCATTATAAGCCCATGAATTTAGACACCAGCCTGTGATGGAATAACACAACTGGCCCCAGCGTTTGGCATGTGTCCTTAAGTTTGTGTCTTTGATTTAGCACAGAAATGTTCGCCAAGTGAGCAGAACACAAGCTAAAATAATTAACGTCGTATTACTGCATTCTAGCAACTCTCTACAAGACAAGGCCAGACAAGCAGGACCCAGTTTAATTAATATTGTACTTCAATGGTGAAAATCCTTTCACAATGACAAAGCAAAGGTGTAAATAATATAATGAATGATAACTGGTCCTGGTATTGTTCATGCTTTCACACTGTCACACTGCCATGGCTTACTAGAACACTTGAATGGAGTCGTTGTTAATATTGTTAGAAAAAGGCCTTACCATTTGAACCTATTGACACAAAGTGAACCAGGGAGTTCTGGAGCCCCTGGGCAGTGCCCCGCTTGTGAATATGTTGTTTAACACAGTGGTTCCGGTCAATATAAATGAGGTGTCAAAAATGATTTTAAAAAAGAAAAGAAAGAAGAAGAAATATATATTTACTCACATACAAAATGCTTATTTTTCACTACTTTTTGTTGTGAAATATGTACTCACAGTTCCCCAGGCCTCTAAAATCCTTAAAAAGGGAAAACTGCTTATAACTCGCATCCACATTGAGGCCCTAATCTGTGATGAGGGGTCCAGAGTCGATATTCCTCCAAGGGGTCACAGCTAAAGTCTCAAGTCATAAAGGTTGGGAAACACAGTTATAACAAAGTTAGTGAAGGAAGATAATGTTCCCCACAAGATCCCCATTGTATATGATTATAGTAATCCATGTGACTATTTGTCACGCCTATAATAACACAATGGCAGCAGTAGATGGCGCCAGTCACACGTGTTTTAAATGGCTACCCATACCCAAACAAATCTACTCCTGCCCAAAATGTATTCACTATAATAATACCTACCCTAGTATTATTGGTTAGATAACGTGACCAGAAGATCCAGTTGGTCTGGTTGAGGTGCACTTGGGCACTGATACGTTGTGTTGGCAGCTTGCCTGACAGCCATTCATGAAGACTTGCAGAACAGTAATTAAGCAGCATCCCAGGAGATCTCATCGTTTAGTGTCAGCATGGAGGAAGCATACTGACACAGGCTGAAACCCAGATTGTCTGGTTTAGGCCAGTGTATTTAACCACTAAATAAGCTTAACAACCTCAACTTATTCCTGTTTAAGATTGTGGTCGGGATTTGGGAAGTTCTTAGGTAGGAATTCGTGTTTGATACAAGGAAAAGTCCTCCGTCTTGCAAGTGCTACTTCCAGCTCAATGCTGTCAATAAATAAGAATGTGCTCTTGGGCAGCTTGCCTGGCTTGGAGAACAAAATAGCCTTCATCTGAGGTTCATATGGGCATGACTGACCTAATCCTACTGTAACTGAGGTCCAGGTGATGGGGCCAAGGATAGACTGGTGGAACTTGCTATTTTGTAGTATATAAAGCACGTCCCATATAGTAAATTTTACTGGAACCCTTTGAACACCTTGTTTAACACGTCTAGACTGTAAATATGACACATCATGCAACCTGATTTTGCTACCGAAGTTTTAAAAGCCTTGAATTACAAAGGGGTGGGTTTAGTCTGATCAACTTGGTCCCAAACAGTCAGACCCAAAGTGAAATTAGAGCCTTGTAAAAGGATTATGGCACTGAGGAGCTATGTTACAGCTGCCATGGATCTGCCCGTATCACTGCCCAGGTCTGGTCCACTTAGGAGGGGCTTTGATTGATTCATTGTGTGGAGGCATTCCAACACCATGCCAGCTGCACGTCATGCACAATGGTGAGATTGTGCCTGGGGCTGCCCAAACGACAGCTGCCCATGGCTGCCCCTTGGAGCTCCGATAGGTGATTACAGATGGACATACTCTGAAAAAATGTTAGCTTTTTGCCTTTGTAGAATCACTATTTTCAGTTCAATAAAAAGCCAGTTTTCAGAAGTCTTGTATTCTTCATTTCAACCTCTCTAATGCAGATGAAAAATCTTAAATTAATTCTGTCAGTCTGAACTTTAGCTGTCTACTCAGCAGTCCTTTCTTGTTCTCTATTACACAATTGCATGATGTTATTGTCTGGAAGTGGACCCAGGAATTTCTGGAAAGGGCTTGGACAAGTTTATTCAAATGATCACATGTCTGGGACAGGATGTTATTTGGGGTAATTGTTTTGTTTTTGAGCGATAACATGCAAACCTCATGTTGCATAATGATATGGGATATAATACATCAATCTTATACTGAGGAATGCAGACACCTTCCCTATTAGGTTTTATGCCTGTCTAAAATATTGAAATACTGGCTTGTTTATTCCTGACAACTGCAATTATTTTGTTATTCCAGTAGTTGATAATCTCCTAAACATTTAGAGATGTTTCTCATGTCTCACCTCTCTTTACAGAGGTGATATGTGTAACCAGTAGTTAAAGAAAGTGAGTTTCCCATCATACAGGAACAGAGAGCCCAGCCCAGTGAAAGTCTCAGTAATCTCTTTGCAGTCACACCCAGCCTGAAAAGTCATGCCTGCCATCCCACCTGTCAGCATTTGCACAGATTGCGTCACCCATTTGACCCTGCTGAGCCACTCTTTGACACATTTGCTTAGTGGTGTGTTTTACAAACTTTATAGCCAACACATGTGGTGTCTGTCTGTTGTTATGCCTTGACATAGAGAACAGGAGTTGACCAACTGCAGCATAGTTCTGCAAGTCAACAACAACTGCTAAAACCAACTGTTGTTCGGTATTCTTGGGCAAGCCCAATGATGGAAGAGCTTTGCAATGCTTTGTGGCAGAGAAAAACACAGCCTCTACTTAGAAATGGCTCATTTGGTTAACCTTTTTCTTTACCATGGCTCATAAAAGACCTAAGTGGGCTGTTATTATGAACAGTAAAACCAACTGCATGCAAAATAAACCAATAAATGAAAGGAAAGGGAGAGAAATGTTTGTTGATGTTGACGTGAAAAACAAGAACTGTAATAGTTTTGTATAATTTTGAAGCATTATATCTGCCTGCCTCTCCATTATCTAACTGTATGGAGCTTGCCTCTTTCTCTAAGTTTACCCCATAATGGACCTCCTCCTGAGGTTCTTCCATAGTTTCCACTGTGTTTTTCAATTTCAAAGGCCCAAGGTAAGCTGAAGCAGTGTTGCTGTAGAGCACAGTCATGATGTTGTTGTGGCAGTTCAAAAAATTGTAATGCTCTGCCTTTCTTAAGTCTCTACTGTCATAGAACCAAATACTACTACGGAAAAGTGAATAAAGGTCAGTGTATTACTACATCGTGCAGAGATATTCCCTGGATGTTTAACGTACTGATTTGACTTCCGCTATAGCT